TTTCGTTATTACAGGGATATTCTCCAAATATATGGGTCCAACAAAGCGAAAGCGAGACCATTGCGAATAGTGTTATCCCGTAATCTGTTCCCAGCCCTCGGGGCCAAGTATACCGCCATCTGTAGCTGCAGGGTCTAGGTTCCATTTTCGAATAGCTTGTGACTTCCCGGATGTCCTCCAGCCTGCCTCAAACATCTCGATGCCAGCCCAACCAATCATAGCTGCATTATCAGTGCAGAGATATAAGGGAGGTGCGATGATATTGACGTCAGAGAACCCTCGTACATCCAAAAAGGAGCGCAGGATATGCCGCAGATATTGGTTCGCGGCAACACCACCGCTAACGACAACAGTTTTGACAGGAGGCCCTGGTCCCAACTTTTCCATGTCAATACTATTGGTAGCGCCAGATGATACATTTTCTAAAGCCAGGACAATGCGAGAAGCAAGGTGTTCAAAACAAACACGCATAAAACCCCTGCAAAACTCAATCCGACCTTCCTCCGGGAGAAAATCAAGGTTGAGGTTGTTCATTTCTTCTTTGGTCTTCCTTCGCTGTACATATTTCCCATTCGCCATGGTCTCAACTTCTCTTTGGGCGGCGGATAATAACCCAGCGAATGTAAAAGCCATTGTTTTCAAGCCGGCGTATGGCAGGGTTAGAGACCAGCCATACTGGGCGTTTGTTATAGGCCTAGCCTCTTGTCCCCTCGTTGCTGGAGGTTTGTAGTCAACGTAATCGGCACAACCGTTTGGAAATGCGTACGCTTCCAATTGTTTGCCATACATTGTTGTCTTGCTTTGGTTGATGTAGGATGACGGTAATGCCATACGGGCAAATTTATCCAGCACATCCCCTATCGCCACATCAACTGTCGAGGCTAGCGTTTCATGGCTCGTGAGTGACTTGGAATACGCGAGGAAGCTATGTCCACCGGACACAAGGACTGATATAAACGGGAACTCCGGCTTTAGCGTACGTATGTCACCATTCTCGGGCCCAGGCAGTATATCAAGAGCATTCGCTAGTCTCGGCGTGAGCAGGTGAGCCTGCATATGATGCACACCAACAATGGGGACTTGCCAGGCGACAGACAGTCCTTTCGCTAACTCTAAACCTACGGATAGATTAGAGCGCATCCCAGGTCCACGGGTAACGGATATGAAATCCGGCTTAAGCTTGGTAGATCTAGTCCCATCACTCGTAGATGGCAGTTGGATAGCCCGGGAGACATAGGGGTTGGACTCCCCAGCTTTCTCCAGAATAGGCCCAGGAGGGGATGGTAAATGGGAGAGCGCTTTATCCACAAGGTCTGCTAAGTTAGCCTGATGCGATTCTAGTGATACAACGGGATGAATGCCGCGATATTCCCGGCTATCAGCGGTGATATTTTGGAGGAAGTGAAGGGTTGCGTTTGGCCTGGATGTTCGGCGGGACGAGGTGTCTTCGGTTTTGGGGCCATGTTTCTCAACAATGGCAACAGAGGTATCGTCACTGCAACCAACAAATATAAGAATTAGCTATGATGCTTTTAAATATCCATATTTTTAAATTTCAATTGGGGGCTCGGTGAATATCGGGTGCATGCTACCATGATGTTTCAATGGCTAACGTCAATAGCGGTCTTCGATGTGAAGAAGCAAATGCAGCTTGTCTTTCTAGGCAATTCAGTGACTTTATTACCGGCCGACGATAAAGTGACATTGAGAAACAACGACGTTGTTGTCATGACCAGTTGCATCTGCTCGTTTCAAGGTCTGAACTTGCANNNCAAAAATTTTGACGTTGAATTTAGCCTCAAGAAGTAACTTGTTAGTAAACCGGCTTAATTAGGTTATCGATAACAAGCACGGGCTTATCTGTAAAGTTATACCCCCTTTTATGATGAGTTTTTTTTTTTACCTGCGTAGAAGTATTTGATAGGACGGACTCTAGGCATTATAATAACAGTTGATGCTATAGGCAGCTTCGATAAAGGAGTGTTTGCTTATGCATCGTTACTTAATTGCTTAGGCAACAAATGTGAAGAGAGAATATTTCTGAAAATGAACGCATATGGTAGTTAAGCCTTATTGGATTTTTAGTAACTAAACGATAGAATAATAAGGACTTATCTGATCATAAATTAGTACGTTATTTTCCATTCCGAGAACAAACCCGCTGATACCATAGGCAACACAGGAAACAATCATAACCTCATAAAGGACATTAACCCATCAAAAAACGTAGCCATCCTGTGCTATTACGCTTTCGAACCAGCAAAAGCATCCCAATGCCATGCATGCTTGCTATAAGAAGACCAAAAAAAGAAACCAGCGATTCCAGGAAGCACCCATATCGCGAGGGTTGAAGCGTAAGTGAACCGATCATGCCTCCGTAGTGATTAGAATGAGGGAGACAGAGAGATCAAGTAGCATTGTCAAGTAACGATCGGTCTGTATCTTGTCATGACGCTGCGGAGCCTTTGACTAAGAAATCTGATAGACGGCTCAAGGAACTGGTCGGGATATGGCTGGAAGGGACAGAGAATTGAGCGAAAGGGGCAAGAGTCATTCAAGAATAGCCGGCGGTGGCACGGGCCCACCGTCTCTCTCGTCTATCTTCCTTGGACATGGCGGAACTGCTGCTACCATAGTATTCATCATGGTTCTCTATTGGTGTAAGGTAGCGGACCTCTGGTTCAGTGTTGAATCTTGTTCTCTTGTCAGCAACACCACTAGACGACGACTGTGTCTTCTTGAGGATGCTTTTGGCGTTGCATGAGTTGCTGTAAGTCGAGTAGCATGGCTGAGTGAATCTAGAGCTGTGAGTGGCGTTGTATGCAGCTGGACTCCGTGGTGACAGTGGCGTTCTGGGTATGGAGAGGGCGGCTGGGGATTTGAGGGAGAGGGAGGCCGTGTTGGTGGTGGCAGCGGAAATGCTCAAAGAAAGCTTTGGTTTGGCGGCACGAGCTGCTGAGAACATGATGACGGACAGAACGTGCCTTTTAGCGGGTATTGATTTTTTTGTTTTTTAAAAAAGTGGATTTTATTTGCTTGGTTATGAAGATCAATCAAGTGAAGGCGATCAGAGACTCGAATATGGCCGAGAAATAGCTGGGCTGACGCTCAAGTCGAGATGGGCGATATCGTCGGATATAAATGTCGACTCAACAGACAATAACGAAGAAGCAGACTAGGTAGAATTGCGTAAACGGCAAAATGTATGTTGGCCCAGCCAAAAAGGGGGTTGTATGGTGTATATATTTAGTATTTTAGGGGGTTGGGGAAAGGGGATAAAACGACGGGTGAGCGTTTGTTGAAACAACCGAAGGCTAAAAAAGGGACTGAATAAAAAAAAAAAGACCAGCTTTTTTTGTTAGGGGCAAGAAGTGAAACGCAAACAGTCGCAAAGCAAGGGGCGCAACAATAAAAGGGCGAGTAATCTCGAAACAAGAGGGCGACGAGTGCGGAACCCCCGGTCCTATTTATGGACGCGCCGCCGCCAGGCTCGCTCATATGCAGCTGTATGCAGTCGGTGTGCGAGCTGGCGGTTGATTCGCCCTCGTCATTCGACTGCAGATGCCTCTTGCAGTCACACAAGCAGGGAAGGGGGGTGATTCCGGGAGTGTCCTTGTGAGGTCATGGCCAATGACAACAGCAGGTTTCCGGTGCCATCGCCTGCATATGCATCTAAGGAGCAGGATGATGTGACGGGCACGCTGCACACCAACCCAACAATGCCTGCGTGTGTCTTTGATTGGCCGGCTTGATGGCTGGGAGAGAGGATCAAGCCTTCTGCGAGGGCTTCCAAGGTGTTTGTTCGGATACTCCAAGCGAGGATGGTCACTGGTATCCCGCCCGTCCTGCAGCCACTGTCATCGTAAAAAGGCCCAATATCACGGTGATAAAAGTGAATTCTAGTTACCACATCGATAAGATAACTAGTTAGTCTTGAACCTTGCGGATCAGTTACCCCTCTCTGGCGAGCCGACTATCGAGGACGCTGAGTGATGGCTGATCCGTTGCTTGATGCGGGAGATGAAGGTTCTCATTCGAAGTCCAACACGGTGTAGTTGACGAGTTGACGAGTTGCCGATGAAGCCGACGATGACCAGACTGAGGTCGTAACTGTTCTCTCCCGTCCGTCGGGTGCTTTGCCGACCGCAAACATCTTTCCTCTGGCCCGTTGTGCCAACAGTTATCAGCTTGACGGTCCTGTGATGAGCAAAACCGGCTGCCACGTCGTGCTCTGTGTACGAGTTTTCGGCCTCAACGAAGGGCCTGTTGCTGGTGATACGCAGCTGGTTGAGACTGACTGCCCGATTCATGACATCTGGCACCTTTATTCTTTCCCACTTCTCTGTATGCAGCCTGATATAGTGATATTAGGACACACAGTCGCGGCATCTGTGACATGGATAAACTAGTGAAGTTGGGCTGTCACTGCGGCACTCAACTGCTGATGTTCCCAACAACCAAATATCCTCGCTTTTTGGCCCTCAATATACTGTTCCACGTCTGCTCCGCGCATGACACGGCCTGACTATCCTGCTGATCAACATCTGCTGCTGTTGCCGGTGGTGGATTGTTGGCAGAGGGGGAACATCAGGAAATGCTGGGCGGCAACCTGTTCTGCTCAGCACAACGCGAGACAGCCATAGACAGTGCCCAATACTGTCTATACGCCCAAATGCTTGTCAAGAAAAAGATACCAAGTTTGTAGAGTCACCCTCCAAATATAACTGGAAGTTTGGTGATCTCTTGATACCGAAGCCATATCGACACATTTATATCACCGAAATAGCGTTCATGTGTCATATTCCAGGTTTCACTGGTGTTTATCAATCCTCAATCCAGGTAAAGGTCATCTTTTAATTTGTAATTCAGTTTATTGTATACTCCATTTATATATCCAAAACGCCGTTTAAACCAAAATAGAGTGCTAAATTATGTCACATAGCATTATATGCCAGCCCTCTACCCAAAATCCCACTGATGCATCTTTCCAACAAATGACCCTAGTTGCTATCCGGATACTGCTCATCATAGTTTGTATCGCCCGAGATAAGTTTTGGGAGATTCAAACTCGTGCTCCATCGGATCATTTGAGTAGAGGCCTGTTCGATCATCTCACCTTTATGCACTGCGATGTCACTGAGATGGCTACCATTCCCTGCTGGACGGTGATGGTTAAACAGTTGCGGCTGCACTGTCACACAAATATTTCTGACACGGCCTTGGATACCCTCACATGCATCCCGGAGCATAAGATCGTAAGGGGCATTGAACTTCTTCACGCCAAATTCATATAGGAGTCTCCGTGCCGATTTCTGGGTCACGCCGTACACAAGGGAGCAAACGGGCGTCATTGCGTGGTGGAACACCCTTGTATGCGGTGGAAATACTGTTTTAAACTCTTCATTTCCCGGGAAGAGCACGAGATGCTTCTGTTCGGGGACCGTGGGGTCATTTCTTTGGATAACTCGACCCTTAGGTATATCCTTTCCAACATCCCGAAGAGCAGGGTCTGGAAAATTTACTCCACAATGGCCTGGCCACAGTATATCCCAATTATCTCCATAGGGAGAATTCACAGGCGGGATAGTATCGTTGTTTATATGGATTTCTTTCAGCGCTCCTGGAGAATTTCTAGGATCAAGGAAGGTTGGGTCCGCATACGCAAGATGCTCTCCCCCTGAAAGGGGCTGGACCAGAGCCCTGGAGGCAAGTGCAAAATCCCTAAGCTGTGATTTGATGCGTATATCCCAATCTGCATCATCCTCAAATATCAGGGCAGTATTTATATTGTTTTCCACAATACTAGGTTCACTGAATTAGCACCTAGATATCTCAAATATCAAAGTTGTGCATTGGGGAGGGGGGACCTGGGCTATACTCTGAAAGTGCATCGAGATGACCCCTCCAGCTCCCAATATTTGCAGCCTTGAAGTACTGGTGTGTTGCAGGTGGTGGTAAGGCCTTATCCACAACGTTCTCCCCCCTAATACCGTCAACCCAATGGAGTTTGATGCCGCTGACAGCAGCCAGCAGCACAATGGCATCACGCCGGTCAGTCCGTGAGGGGAGGTTAACAACATATATTCGCTCAAACTATGCGCAAAATTGAGAATCGAGTTAGCAAAAAGGGCCGCGTATTATAAACCTGGACTACTATGACTATACACCAACATACTCCGAGAGTAGAATTGAACACATCATTCAGATTGTCAACGTCCTTTTGTTGAGTATAAGGGCCAGCAGTCCGGGAGTTTCTCCAGTAGCCGGGTCGATGGAGGGTAAATAAAAGCGCAGTAAAGAATACCAGGCTCCCCGCCGCAACGAGCAGCAGTAATTTCTTGTTGAGAAGCTTTGTCTGTTGAAAGAGAAGCATCGTGGTATTAAACTACCTATATTTGGGGGTAATGAACGAGAGCTGGGAATGCTTCGGGAGAGTGGTGAAGAGAACTATTTATCAGATTTAAAAAAAGGGGGGGCGCTACTTCAATGGATATATGGAGGGCAGAGCATCACCACTAGTTAGCGAAGTGGGAATTCTGAGCATTGTTGGCAGTTATAGTGGAGGCCAGTGGGCCTCAGATATAGCCTGGAGGGAGCCAGACCAATGCATCGTCAATTCTTTATTTTTTCATTTATTTATTTATTTTTTTTTTTTTTCAACGTCCGCGGCAAACGTATAAATAACTACATGACATGGGCATTTAATACGATGTGTCAAGGGATTCTGGTAGCCAATTTGTTGACGAGAATCCCCTATTCTTGATCTTAAAGGGCTGTGTTATTGGCCACTACTACATACATAACTATTGAGTGTTTAGAGATCCCCTATCAAAACTAATCTATACTGAGGCATGGGCTGTACTTCCTCATTGACAGGAGAAAAGAATTCGTTGGAAAGCATGGCCTCTGGAAATCCAGGCGCTTATGAGGCGGCGTCAATACCTATCTACCTAGTTAACTAGTCATCCTTTTCCATCTCTCTGCTCTTTGCTAGATGCCGGGTAGGCTCTTAAAGTGAATACCATATCCTCATTTCCCGGGAATCTGTGGCAATTCTTACTACCTCCTAACTTACGGCACATTAATAACTGGTACATCATGGGAAAATTTCCAAAACTAAACATGAGGGTAATACATCTCGTTGTATTCAAACTGATTGCTGTTGCATTGGCGTTTGGTAACAGTAAGAATCGCTTGGTCAGTCAACCAGCGTCCGATTCAGCGGATAAGCCTCTCTGATACCTGGGAGAACAACGGGCGGTCTCCTGGATAACAGAGCTAAAGGACTATGAAATTACTATCTGGCAGCAGTACCCTAAAGAGAACGTTGCAAATTATAGTGGAGTGGTGTTTTGAGGGTTCCGGTTTGGTCAAATGTGCCTTGCTATCATAAATGGTTAACTAATAATAACTATAGAAACGCACAAGGGGTCTGCTAGAACTTTTACTTGGACTGTACAACCTACGGACGTGACCTGCCTCGAATTACTTCAATATACCAAGGGAAAAACCTCCATCCCATGATACGATTTCTACTCCGGAGCCCTCATCGCTCCAGCCTCAAAATAATGGCTCAGAACAGGAGAACTCAGGTATCAACTATAGTGAAAATTGCATTGGGAGTTGGATTATTAGTGGGCATCATATTCTTGGCTAGTTATTTGCATGTTTCGCCGCTCACAAGTTCCTCTAGTGGCAAAGGCTAAAAGCGGACGAAAGGTCTACAGAGTCCACGGGTGAAAGGAGAGGATACGACATCAGAACTCCCAACCAAGTATAATCCAAGCCGTTTCTTTGGGCCGGCTGAACTAGATGACAGAGGGTTTAGTCGCAGTTAGCAACTATGACCAGTCAACTAGCTGGTTCCTGACAGACAACCAGCTGGGCAACGAATCAACTGGTTAACTGGTTAACTGGCCCCCACCCAACTCTTAATTAGTTATTTAAAGCAGTTATCAGTCTGGAGAACTTCCCTTATCTTGAACTTCAACTTATTTTTAATTGATCAATACTACGGAGTCCTCCGTACGAATTCCGTAATATTGCTGGATCTTATGTTGATCGAAGCGTCGGTGATTTAAGCTCTCGGGTAGCAAACCCAAAACCAGCCAACGCGTTGCTCTTTGCGCTCGTCCGCGATCGACGGGAACGATCAAAGTTTCGCCTTGTGGGGCCCGGGGCGCTTAGCCACCCGATGCGCACGGCTCCTTTCTTGCGCACGAGCGGCCCGGCATTGTCAGGGGAATGTTGAGGAGTTGGGTATAAACAGTTGACGTGCATCAATGCGTAGATGAGGGCCACTTCTGCGCCTCACGACCTGACAGGACAAAACGGCAATTTTACAAGTTATTTTACAAGTTTGAACGTACTTGCCCTTCAATCAAGTATATGAACTTGGAGTGATCAGTCTTATTCTAAGTAGTTACTGGTTAAAACTGCCTCTGCAGAGTTGGCCAGTGGAATGAAAACTTGAATGAATAGTAAACCACGGAAATCAAGTACCTGATCTAGGAGCTCAAGCTACCGCAAACCCATCCCATGCCTTCAATGCATTCTGGCCTTCTAATTCATACTGCTTAAGGCCACCAGCATAGTTGAGTTGCTCGCGCTTCTTGCCCGGGATGTTCATACCCATATACCACGAATCAGTCAGTGGAAGAAGAGTGGCGTTTGACACTGCATTGACCTTGTTTTTCCACTCTTCCTGCGCCTGGCCTGTGGGCTGTATGTTCTTCCAACCATTCTCAAGTATCCTCTTGATCACTTCCACAATCCAACGTCCCTGGATCTCAATTGATGACGGCCCATTACTAAACGCGGTTGGGCCATGGGTGGCATACAGGTAAAACATGTTTGGGTAGCCCTTGATACACATGCCGAGATAGCTCATTGCTCCATCTTTCCAGGCCTCTTTGAGAGGTTTGCCATCAATATCACGGAGTCCCATGTTTGTCATACTTCCGGTCACTGCGTCGAAACCTGTAGCAAGAGCAATCACATCCAAGGGGTAGAAAGTGCCGTCACTGAGAAGAATGCCGTCTGGTTTAATTTCAGCAATGGGATTTTTTCTAATGTCTACGACATCAACGTTAGGTCTGTCGATCATGTCATAGTAGTCTTCTTCGAGTGAAGGCCGTTTCGTCCCAAATGCATGTGGTGGGTCCAATGGCGCAACTATATCTTTCTTTCTGGTATCATTTATCCTCGCTCGTGTCTTTTTTGCCCAGAAATCGTATGCGTAACGATTCGCCTTGGGGTCAAACAGGATATCTGAGTAAGTGCCTACCCAGAACTCAAACCCACCGTTTTCCCATAGGGTCTCGAAGTGTGCTTCTCGCTCATCGTCAGACTCCGTGGTAGCGACTCTACCAGAAAAATCATATCTCATTCCAGAAAAGGTTGTCTCTCTGTTTTTGAAGAATTTTTCGTAATTCTTCTTTTTGTCTTCCTGTTCTTCACGGGACAACTTGCCCTGGCGCATAGGAAGTGCTAGGTTAGGAGTCCTCTGGAACACAACCAAGCTACCAGACTCCTTCGCTAGTGCTTGGGTTAACTGGACACCCGTGGCTCCAGTCCCAATTACTGATGTTCTCTTCCCCTTGACATCTACGCCCTCTCGAGGCCAGTCCGCGGAGTGACACATTACGCCTTTGAAGGAGTCTAACCCTTTATAATCTGGGACATATCGTTTGGCGCAAAATCCGGTAGCAAGAAGAAGGAACCTGCAGTGTGTAGTGCGTCCATCTTCAGTTTCCACGTCCCAGTTATTGTTCTGCATGTTAAATTGGGCACCAACAACTTTGGCGCCAAACTCGACATCCTTTTTAATGTCCCACACTTGGTCGACATGATCGAAATATTTAAGGATCTCTTCTCCATCAGGATACTTCTCTGTCCACGTCCAGCCAGACCACAGCTCTGGGGCAGAGTACTCGTAAACAGGGACTTCGGAGTCAACGCGGAGACCTAAGGCACAACCAAGGTCAGGGATATTCCCTCAAGAGCTCCTAAGCTAGACAAGGAGATCAGTCCGCACCTGGGTAAGTGTGCCAATGCCAGGTTCCTCCTAGACCAGTGCCAGCCTCGTATATTCTGCATTTGAGGCCAATCTTCCTGAGATGATATAGTAGAAAGATACCAGAGAAGCCTGCCCCTACGATCAGGGCGTCGTAGGAGGACGCCTCACCGGACATTTTGTGGCCGTCTATGGGCTCGGCAGCCGTCCTAGATCTTCGTGAACGGCTAGGCAGGATTAATGCGGGCAGGAGAAAGGAGAGGGCTGCGCAGGCTATCGTTCTTGTTTGGACTGGGTATCTATAGAGCAACGGGGACGTTGCAGCTTCCGCCTCTAAATAAATACTCGCCTTCGCCGTGTTACACCGGCCTCACTCCCCTCCTCCTCCTTCGCCTCGCGATGCGAGTCTGCATACTTTCATCAATCCATCGCTTACTCTGCAGCAAAGGTTACATGGGGTTTCGTAATGCGAAGAAAACACTTATCTATCCCCCATCAAGGGCCTTGCCGGCCTGCTTTTGACGGCGTGAGGGCGGTCTCCTCCGCCATGCTGTCTCAATCTCTCCTTGCGTGATAAACGGCCAAGCTCCGTCAAGTTTCAGTGCTTAACACGTAACTTGATACTTATTCTTCAGCCTTCATACTTCCACCTGAATGCCTTCTCCCATATTTCAAGGCCACCAGCTCGCTTTCTACCACTGCTTCCTTCTCTGCGGCCCCTGAAGCTCGATTTCAAACATGGCCGGCGATGGAACCTATCGATGCCCTCACGTGAACTCGGGGAACCACGACCTCCCTGGCCGCCAGATACATCCAAGAACGATGCACAACCCATGACTTCGACAGTCACTTTTATGCGGGACAGGCGGCCCGATAAATTACCCAGATGGATGTCCAATCATATAACACGGCATTCGTGAGGCATCAGCGGACGCATGCACGCTGCCGCTCTAGCTCTGCCGTGGCAGGGCGAGAAGATACTCACCCCTCGTTGGCTATCACCTGACGATGCCCTGGTGAGAATTTGCAGCAAGCAGGGGAGAAGGAGGCCGTGGCGGGATGGGACAATCACTTGCGGTGTTGTTCTATGCAATCAATCACTGCGCCTATCACATATGACCCGAGTATCCGTATAGACCGCCCGGGGTTTATTCCGCCTTTGTGTGTCCCAATAATACCACGTATATTGCCTGCACAACGCTCCGCCAGTGATGGACCAGCCTATTCAGACCATAATACCTGTTCCGGTTGCTTTTCTGCAAGGATATAACTGGAATGAGGCTGAGAATTTGCGGCACAGCCGTTTGTCTCGGTTTTATAGGCCACTGAGCTTCTCTAAAATCACCTGTCTTCTCTTTAACTACTACGCAGGTTGGTTGGTGAAACATGACCCCAACTCTCTCTTGGGGCCAATGACTCTAAACAAAACTACAATATCTATACCCAATTTGTATCATTGGTGGTCTTCGGCTTCTTCCTAATTCTACTCCCTCAGTTCGGTCTGATATTACCGCTCCACTCAATATATAAAACACTATAACTGAGACAGATAGGACGCATGGCTCGAAGAGGTAATGTTACAAGCCATTTTATCGCATCCAGATAGGTAGCTAATTTTAAGCTTGTAGTGGATAGCATTGAAGTTCTCGAAAGGGCCGCTGACGGCTTTAAACTTTCTCTGTTTCTAAGCGCTGTGAGCTGCGAGGTCTTCAATGGCGGCATCGAAACTCACAGCATTGCAAAAGGGATATCGCTTCTGGCTGTTTCCTTGAAACATGCGGGGCGAATCCTCCAGGAACCTGACCCCATATACTCCGTACAAGCTGCAAACACCATCGGGGAAATCTCGCATCAGAGTGCTGCAGTATTTGACGAACTCAAGTCAATGCTGAGCAATGCTCAGGCTCGTGACAACGGAGCATCCAAAAATGAAACTTTACGAGATCATTTTCTCCGTTGTTTCAAAAAACACCGTGTCACATATCTCATCGCCTACATGGAGTCACTCAATCTTAGTCTCATGGCTATAGGGCAAATAATAAACTTAAGGAAACTATTAGCTTCAAAGAGGTAATGAGGTAGTTACTGCTTTTTGTTGTTTTTGCACTCTTGCTCATTGTGATTTCGCGATTAGGTATATGGAACAGGGCCTTGCTACAGCTTTAATTGAACAAGAACGCGCTGAAATCCAGAACATGCTTATCATTCGATGCTGGTCCTTGAACAGATTAGACAGGCTTTACGATCTGGCTCGCCGAGAGGCAGAAGAATGGAACATACCTTGTATACTCAACCCTGCTTTTGATCCCTCAATACCTGCAAGTCAACGTAATGCTTTCAGAAAGCTTCGTGCTGTTTCATTTGGAGATGTCGACATCAGTTTACAGCAAATCAAAAAGACACCCAAAGACATGGTCCAGGTATCTGCCGAGGCAATCGACCCATTATTACAGCTATGGGTGCGAAGAAAACAGGTCTCATGGAATTTAAGCTCTTGCCTACATCATGACAACTGCTTTGAGCTACCATGCGATCCTCCTACTCCTAAGTCTGCGGATGTGAAGACTTCAGAAGGCTCGGAGCCACCTTCTCAAAGAGCCAAAGTATATGCTGATGATCTTCAACAAGGATATTCCAAGTACTGGGCTACTGTTCAAACAGATTCGGAGAGTGAGACCGAGGATGATGAGGCCTTACCAAATAATGTTGCCGATCCGTCATCTTCATCTTATATTTCTCAGCATGAACAGTCTGGTTCTTCTGCGAGTGATAGCAGTACCCAGAGGTGTCCCAGCTTACAGAGAAATGCCAGTTATACCACAGCGTATGCTCGTCCTAATCTTAATGCGAATGAGCAGTGCAACTCCAGACCACAAACGTTCCTTCCCCAAAGGTCCAGGACTGGGCCTTTTGACAACCGTGATACGTACAAGATACCGGTACATAATTTCGGAGATTCTTCCCCTAATGCATCGTCAAATACGGATACATGGAAGATACCATATAATGCAAATCAACCAACGGGGCAACATCCTAGCGGTCCTCACTACCCTCCAACCGCTACCCCATGTCCATATCCCAATTATTCCCCAAAATATCCGATAAACCCTCCTCATAGATCATACACCCACCCACCTGGGCCTTATCCCCGCCCGCATGCCAGCTCATATTACCGCACATCTCAGGCACCCTTATGCCCGAGTCAACCCCAGTCAGAAACGCTATTTCACCGTGCTCCATCCACCCATGATGCCCGTGCTTATCGTTCTAGACCCCGTGTTTCTTTTGTGGACGAGCAATCCTCCGACTCATCAAGCAGCGAAGCAAGCAGGGATAGGTTACGAAGAGGGGACAAAATGAAGGAGCAGAGAAGGCAGAGATCAAATGTGAAGGACAAGAAATCCAGGCCCTCGACAAAGAGCTCTAGACGATCAACGTTGCACAGCGTTTTAGGTACGGGGGCTATCACGGCATTTCTTAAGGCATTGGAAGGAATTTCGCCCGGAAATTGGTCCCTTTTCATGAAATACTGAGTAGACGCAACGCATTTTGCTAGTTGAGCTGGCAGATCACTTATGCATTTTATTTCTCTTATGGTGTGGTAGAAGATATACTAGTACCGAGCTTGTTGAGAAGGGTAGTTTCTTTGCAACCGGTTAGTCTAAATCTAAATTTCCTCTGGATCTATCCTTTTATCTTCTATGCTGTCGAACAGAAACAGAGAAAAAAAGTCACAAGTAAAACAAGCTAGAATATTTCAGAACAGAAGAAAATTGGAAAGGAAAAAAATGGTTGGTTCCGTTTCTCCTCTGCCAATATGAAGGCCCAGTTGCAAGGATTTAAAAAGTATCACAGCCTCCCCAATAAAGGAAAAAGAAAATCAAAAGTTATCAAAACTTAATAAAGAAAGCACGAGGTGAAAAATAGATCAGAACGGTCTAGATATGCTTAACAAGAAAATTGACCAAAGTACCGGAGAAAAAGTGGGAAGAACAAACGGAGAAATCCAGTAAATCGAGGGGTTATGAGAATATGGTAGGGGTATTGCCGGGTGCTTTACAACTTGAAAATTTTCCACTTGATGATCAAAAGGTGACGGTTGAGGTTGAGATTTAGACAATTAATATCATGATTCGTTAGATGGGTGGGCGGGGAAGGCGTAGCTTTACTTGCTCAATACCGGTAAGCTAACACCCGCTGGAGGCTGCAGGCGGCCGAAGTTCGGCTCGAGATCCAAAATGAGTTTCAGCGCATTGCGCGATCGAAGATAAGGTAGCGGACCGGAGGCTGGCTGTAAGCTAGCCTGGGGCTCAACATAGCCGGTTGGAGTGACTACTTCATGCTCTGAGCCTGGCATTGGCAGCCATTTCTGAAGTACTTCATACGCAGCAAGGGTGAAGCCGAACTGAGGAGACGAACGCAGGATACGAGCTGGTCCACCTTTGAAAAAGGCTTTGAATCCTTCTTCCTTCATGATTGTGGCGGCACAGTGGCGGAGAGAGGTGTATTTTGTCTCTCCCTTTCGAGCTTCGACTTGGAGACGGGTTTTGATGACATCACATGGGGTGGTGAGGTAGGCAGCAGGCATACCGGCAATGGCTCCAGCAGTCAAGAGTTGGATAACACCCAGCTTCTTGGTGGGAGACTCGCCGAAGAAGTCCGTTTTCAAATGGGAGTACGTTGGGAAGTAGATTGCCGAGAATGGGACTGTTGGACGGTATGTTAGCAGGGGGAGAAGTTACATATTATCAAGAAAAGGGGGGGGTAGTAGCACACACCATCACGAAGGAGACAGGCGCTAGCTCCCTTGTAGAGTCCCATGAGACCCAAATTCTTCACGATCCACATTGCGGATCTACGAGGGGCTGCTGTCTCATTGACATTCTTTGCAATTTCTCCCTGGATCTGTAGACGAATCTTGACGATTTCTAGTGGATTGGTGAAGACCTAGACAAGGTTAGCAGATATATCCAAGACAAGAGCAGAATTAACATGAGGTGAGGACACATACGACTTGACAGGCACCAGCAGAACCACCAGCAATAACCTCGTGAGGCCACCATATCTTGCCGCCCTTATCCTTGTCTGCAAAGAATCCTCGCACCAGGTCGTTGACGGTAAGCTTAATAGCCTTTTCAGGCGCAACTCCAATCAATTGAGGGATGACACCGGAATACAGTCCCAGAACACCTTCGTTTCGGACGACCTTCTTAGCACAGTCGAGCGAGTTCATATACATCTTCTCACCGACCCGTGCACTTCTCTGGTTCTGCATCCTGGTTTTGACGAGATCGATCGGATAGACCATAAAGGCACCAAACGCACCAGCAATGCTTCCGAGTGCGAAATGGTGAACAGATTCTAGTATGTTGTGAAGCACCTGGCTGGTTGTTCCGGTAACCTTTTCGGTTGCCTTGGACGCACCGGCCAACGCCTCCCTGCCCAAAACGCTGGCACTGTGCCACGAAGCATCAATGACCTTTGCAAAGTCGCCGAGTTCGAGTCTGCCAGAGGGGGCATCGAGACCGGCGAAGTGGAAGAGGATATCGGCTTCCATTGGTGTAAAGAGCGAGAAGCGGGTGATGCGGGCAGCCTCGTTCAGGAAGTCAGACCGAGTGATCTTTCCATCGTCACTCTTGCGAACGGCACTGCGGATGATGTAGTCTATGATGTCCATTTCTCTGATGATGTTCTGGAATGCACGCACGTTTGCGTATGATATCTTGCTGCCGGAGGAGATGTTGCATAGGGTGGGCAGGTTCTCCAACAGATGGTCTGACAGCTTGTGTTGCGAGGTTTCTAGGATGATGCGCTGGAAATCTTCGGGTTCGATGTAGCCGTCTCCGTCTTTATCGAACAGGTGGAATGCCTGTCTTATCCTCTCTCCTTGCAGTCCGCGAAGCATCTGCGCAAACTGCGGGTATGTCATGTCGTGCCTTGTCTTTTTCGAGCCGGTATAGAGAGCAGCCCAGCCCGAGTTCCAGTCGAAAGGGATGGTGTTGTCACCTTTGGCAGAGCTGAATAGCTTCTGTAGCGTCTCATGCTTGACTATTCCCGTTCCCTCGGTGTCGAAGAGCCTGAACGTGATCTCGTACTCTGCGTCCGGTTTGGCCAGAAGGTCCTCAAACATCGACCAGTCCTGGAGATTGATCTTGCCGGTGCGTCTTCGGTCGGCAACATTAAAGAGAATGCCATATTGCTCCCGTTTTATTTTGTGCTACAGAGATAAGATCACGTTAGCCTTCATGTCTGCTTTTCTCTACTAGAAGGAAGGGAGGTGTTGTTGGGTTATGCTTAAGAGTTAAGCTTATGTGAACGCCGACAGCGCCGTTAACGGCCTAAAGCCAGCCAACGCAGCCATCACCGTGCTTCCAGAGTAGAAGGGAATGACTTACATAGTCTTCATTCTTGGGGGCAATGGCATTGATAAAGTCTTCTCTTGTCATGTATAGTTCACCAGACTCACTGTCCACCCTCGCGTGCTGCATAAAATGGGCTTTGACATGTGCGCTCAGTGGTGTCTCACTAGACCTGCCCACCAGCTGCTCCTTTATATTCTGCGCCATGATGTGAAGGTGCTAGGACCGGATCCTGAAGCTCTCTTTGCCGTAATCTCTGTCTCTATACGAGTAATTGGGGCCCGCTGCGGTTGAGGGGTGCGCTGGGGAGGATGTGTCCTGGCAAAGAACCGGGGGAAAAAGCTGGAGAAAGCTCAGCAAGCTGAGGCCGACGGGACAAGTAGGGATGCTCCGGATGCGAGTGAATGGCTGTCTGGACTTCACGGGAGCCAGCCAGCAGAGTGACGGAGGGGATGCGAGGAGAGGGATGACGGGAGAAAGGGAGGAGAAGGAGAGAGAGAGAGAGAGCCGATCCTGAGGAGTTTCTTCGTCTTCGACTTCTGGGTCACTAGAAAAATTTATCTGTCTTTTCGCTCGCTGCTCAGGAACTGGAAAGCTTACCCGATTTTCGGTCGCGGCAAGACTTGGCTTTTTTTCTTTTTCTTTTTCTTTTTCTTTTTTTTCTATTCGATCAATATTGATTGATATTTGATATTCGACAACCAGTCAGTAGCTTTATGGCATTATTATTATTGCTTCTACTCGGTCTCGCTTTAAGACCTCAGAGATCTTCTCCTTATTTATTTTACCACCACTTCTTCTTCTTCTTCTTCTTCCTCTTTTTCTCTTCTTCTTCTCTGCTTCTTACAAGGCTTTTCTCCAGTACAGTCACGTGCCATGTGGGCGCCGGGTCGGAAGGCATGGACCAATCACAGGCCTCGGCAGGATCGTATCGTGTCAACCGAAGGGAGCAAAGCAGGCGGGCAGGACAGCGAGGCCATGGGAACCATGCGCAAGGCGGCAGGGGAGCGCAGGGGAGCGCAAAAGCAAGCATGGGAGCCGTCAGCAGGTGGCAGATATGTAAGTAGACGGACGGACAGCAGAGAGCAGTGTGGCTTCGGGAGATAATCTGATAACTTAGTTGTCACGACGGGCCAGCTGTCGCCGCCTGCCGGAGCTTCACCCGGTGGCCATCTCCACCAGCTAACTAGTTAACGACGGAATCGAGCGATATTTTCCGTTGACAAGTCGGACTGTCAGCTAAGCGCGAGTTACTGCTGGCAGGGAGATTCAGGAGGCCTCGGGGTGCCACATGACCATTTTCCAGAGTCGGCTGAGCTGCGTTACCATCCGACAAACATGAACAGCCATCTCTTACCATACCCCTACAACCAAGGGCATCGCAGTCCTCCGTTCTCTGGGCTCAAGACCTTGGCTAATGCGCTCTATGGCGCTTACCTCCGTTTCCAGCCCCTTGCTGCTTCACCAGCCGGTACCAAGCCTGTCCAGCTTGTCTGCATCTCGGATACCCACAACTCGACCAGAGAGGTTTCACCTGGCGATCTTCTCATCCACGCTGGCGACTTGACTCAACGTGGTACATCTGAGGAGCTTCACAGTCAATTTCGATGGCTGTCTACACTCCCACATACCCATAAAATCGTTATAGCAGGAAACCACGACCTCCTGCTCGATTCGGATTTCGTTAAGCGTCATCCTACCCGCATTCCCAGCCAGCCTGGATCATCTGTCTTCAGCTTGGACTTGTATGATGTCGAGTATCTTCAGGACCGATCTGTCGCCCTACACTTTCCAAACGGGAGGAGATTGAACATCTACGGTTCACCTCAGACACCGGAATTCGGTATTTGGGCCTTCCAGTACCCGGCAATTCGGGATGTTTGGACTGGTAGAATCCCTGACAATACAGATATAGTCGTGGTTCATGGGCCACCCGTACTCCATCGTGATGCTGGAAAGAAGAAAGGAGATGGGTATCTGTTAAAAGAGTTAAGAAGAGTAAGGCCGCAACTCGTGGTATTCGGTCATGCTCATGATGGATACGGAGAAGACTACCTTCTCCATGACGGGGTACAGAGTGCCTGGGAAGATGCAGTCCTACAGAGAAGTGGTATAACGGCAATCCTGCGAATGAGTTTCTGGATGTTGGTAGCACTGCTTAAAGTCTTCCTGGGGCTCCCACAACGCAGCCCAACAAGGCTAGTAAATGCAGCTCTTGCGCCGGGAACAGACAGCAAAACAAAGAAGCACCCTATCATACTAGAAATATAATCCGGCTACTCCTCTGTATATATTTGATATAAACCAATCCTCCCCAAACAGCAAACTTGTTGTCCATCAGCAATTTATACTCAGCAGGGAGCATTTAGGGAATCGACGTCGTCAAAACGGGCTTGCGGGAGCCATTCACCAGAGAAACTGCTTTGGCGAGAACATCACGGTCATCCTGAAACGTCAAACGCTGTATAGCCTCGTCACAGCTGAAAAACTGCGCAATAAATCCTGTCTCGCCATCCGTCTTTTGAACGCCTTTCTCAAGTTCCGCGATATACCACCAGATGAGCTTAACATTATGGTCCCCAAGCTCCCGGGTGGAAAGCATGAATGGCTCCATTAGACAGTGATAAACTCGCGCCTCATCGGGGATATTATAGGTACTACATGCTGCTGGAGCTCGGGTTGGCATTGCGACAGGATAAAGGCGGCAGTGGTATCCAGTCTCTTCTTGGACTTCCCGGAGAGCAGCATCGCACCGCCGTTCATTGCAGTTTCGCCGTCCCTTAGCAAGCAGCCATTCGTCGTCCTTGACGTCGTGGATCAGACACACTTTAGCTATATCTGCCGAAAAATCAAACAGTATTGCACCGCTGCTCTCGACAAACTGCTCGCTGCTGTATTGGACTGTTTTGAAAGCCGACGCTGCCATGTTGTTTTGCTGAAAGTTTGGAATGACATTCTAGTCTCAACTTTACGATGGGCTATCCTAAAGTACGGTGGTCTTGGAGTTCATGTTGGAGTCGGTGTTTGGCCAGCGTCTCGGATGACTATTTGATCCGCCGCTGCCGCTACCTCCTGCATCATCTGATAGATAACCCTATCGGAGTGCTTTTTATACAGTCGGTAATCTTAGATGCCGCGGCATCACTTGCACAAGATATAAAGATGTCACTGGTTTCACCTCCTTTTGACAGTAAGCGTATGCGGAAGCCAGTACAATGGGTTCTGATCTTCATTAATATCTATACTCTGGCTAGGTTCGCCTTCAAAGATGCTAATAGAGAATATATTATGGGTACTGTCATAGCGGGTACTGTCATAGTGTATTCAACATAATGTTAAACTAGCATCCCTATCTTAACCAGTGAGAGGAACCAAATTATTGCCCTAGCTCTACAGGGTTGGAGCAAAATACCCCGCGGGTTTGAATTTAGTAGGAGTGCAAACAGGTCATTCAATCTTGCTATATTCAAGCCTACCCAAACCCCGACCAGCTCTATATCATCAGGGCCTCCCAAGTTAAGCCATCGTTCATCTTTAGTCACGATGCCTTGATTATCTGACACTAGCTGAAGTCTGCAGAGTCGTTTCAGGTGTATGCGAATGTCATACTCACCCTCATTATCCATAAAATTCATCGTTGAATCGAAAGCCGCATGGATAACAACGATTCATAATGTGGTTAAACCTCAAGGATATCTTTTATAAATAAAGGAAGAAGATATACCCCTCAAACAAAGTCTATGGTGCGGGCAGATGATCACCCAGTACTCAAATGTAGCGCAGCCTTCCTAAGCGCAGCCTCACCTTTGAGAGTAGAACCTCAATGTTATCCTAAACTCTGGTGTAGTTCTGAATATTTGACAAATGATCTGAGCGGCTTTGAACATTGTGGACGAGGCTCTTAAGTTTGACAGTTACCTCTTCTCGCGAGCCGCCGAAGAAAGGTGACCTCGAAACAAGGTATCTTCGGCCACTATTGAGCCATGTATCTCAATCAGACCCAACACCAGTTGCTCATGCAAAATGAATTATATTCAGGTAGCTATTAAAATATCCATAGATGGGCTAAATGATTTCATATGGTACTATAACTTCTGTCCAAAGCCTTGATCAATATGTCACACGTTCAGCAACAGACGGCGGGCGACTTGTTATAACTAACTATTTGTGAGTCTGCCGCCCTCAAACTCTAAAACTTGAATCCCCCACGAAGGACGTGCCCTATCGGTTGTATATGTCAAAGTTTTGAGATAGTACATCTGAAAAGCAGATATCGTGAGAAGTTGGGCAAAGAAAGATTGATTCAAAGCGGAGAACTGACTACTTAGTTGGTTAGTTAAGTTATGGGGTGTTTGGAGCCTTTTATACTTGGCTAGTTGGTTAGTTATTCGCCGAGCTAGCCGCCAAAGCCCCGCCCATGCGGGTTTCATGTCGCCGAACTTAATTATATAAAGTCCCGTCTTAGAGGGGTGGAGCTGAAGGGATAACAATACCAATGGTGTTAATATGGGCTTCATCAGTCATTGGCAGTTGAATTGAATTACCTACCGAGGCAGTGTTATCACTTATGTCACATCAACAACGAGTAATTAACTAGTACTTAATAACTAGTGAGTTCTATGGCTCCTCTATCTCTCGAAAGGTTTTGCACAGCCGAAATATATCGGCTCTTGGGTCTGTAGCCTTGTTTGTCAGCCGGGACAATTTTTTCTGTGTCTCTGTTACACTGTGCACACAAAATCTAGGTTTAGTCCTCCATACCACCATTCTTTTCCTTTTCTGAGAGACGCCTTGGTGGATCCAACAACTTGATCTGCCTGCGGTTATGACCCGGTTTCATGCTTGGCCTTTGTCCACTTCCAAAGCCAGGAGTAGAGAATATAAGGAACCACCACAAACCCTTTATGTAAACTCTGCCATCATGTGCTCGGAGTCACTCATTCTGAGAAGCCACAGGCCAGCTATCCTTATGAGCACTATTCGGAAGAGTATTGAACGTATATTTAACATTGAAGTTGGTTTGACTTAGGTAAGCACCTGAGGTGAGGTCCAAATAAACTCTCGGATTATTAATTATCCTTAAGCACGTGAAAAGCTTAAACTCTCCTGTTTCCAATTTAAAGCTTTGTTCAGGGAAGAAAAGACGAGAACGCGAGGCAGACGGAATTGATGCAAGGGGGAAAAGCTTCACAAAAGGCCCCTGAATCACCCTCGTCTGGTTTGGCCTATATCTAGCTATGGGCAGAGATTAGCCCACAAAGTAAGAGTGAGATATTCGTGGGCTTCGCCCGACGCCTCTACCATAACCAAGGAGTGATGCTGAAGCTAATCGATCTTAGATAACTAGGGGCTGATTCCTATGATCTCATGACCTACATGGTCTCCTGTCTTTTCCTCCATCTACCACGACCAAACGATAATGAGACATTATATATAGGCCGTTTTCACTGCTTGTTTCATTTCTAGCACGTTTAACACCCTAATTTACCGTTTTACTCATTTTCTCGATACACAGCCCCCGACATTGCCTCAGCCAAAAGACGCCACAAACCAACGGCCCATTAGACAGGTATCGAGAATACTTAACCACTTGGCTAACTGGGAATGTCGTCCCTTGCTACTTGGGAAAACCTTTGCGCTGGAACTCTTGCATCATCTCATCGTGGCGGTGAGAACGACGTTGACCTATAATGAACTCCGTAAAATCTGTGGACGGTAATATTGAGGGGAATGGAGACAAGAAAATGGTAGAGGGCAGTGCCGGCCATGAGAAGGCAGGCCAATGTGGCGAAGGGACTGATCAGAAAGGGCCGGAAATCTCATCGACCAAAGCAGCTGCGGCCAAAGAAGAGCTGGATGATTTTGGGTTGCCGGCTAG